CTAATGTGCAAATTTTCAGGTTGGTATCATCCTTTTAGGAGTACAAAACCACTAAATAAGAAAACGTCAAAAAACTTACTTTTGATTTGTGAAATCACAAAACGTGCTCTCACGCAACCTTACAACGGGGAGGGCTACCGCGACTGAATGCAAGTGAGGGTAGCGACACCGGCTATCACCTTACGGCAGCGAAGCGGTATTTGTCTATTGGATAAACCTACAGAGCATTTGTTACTTTCGACCTGCCGTTACTTTTGCACCCGGTCTCCCCTACTATCTTTAACTGCTGTATGAACTAAAATAAAAATTAATTTAAATGCAACAAATCTTCTTCTTCTTTTTTTATTTTTGAAGTAAAAATTTCTTTAGCGGCGTTGTACACTTTTTTATAATAGGTAAAAAATGTTAAACTCGCGTCAGGACACGTGACCTGATCGAAAATTCGTAAGACGGACGGCGTAGGAGAGGAAGTATCCCCCTCTCTTTCTACGGCGCGGCGAAAATGTATGCCTGCGCCTACAGTTTCGTTTAGGGGTAAAATAACAGGGCGCTTGCGCAAATGTAAATTGTCATGTTTGTGTACGATAGCGCAATAAATAAATACTGTATTTTACCACATAAATGATAGTACTCTACTGATAATTAAAGCTATTCGTGCAAAATTATTTCCTAAACATTCCAAAATATAAAAATGCACAACGTTAATATTCAAATTTTCACTTCTGTCGGCACTCCCAGAGTGCAAACCCGTCGTTTTTTTTAAACGTTACCCCTACACTAGGATTTTCATATGTATCTTGGGGGCAGTTTACTAACATAAATTTCACAAGGATAAACATCCAGACCTGGAACAATTATTTGTAGGCCATACAAATTCTTGTTCCGTGTGGGATTCGTACCCGCGAACCCCAGCGCAGCCACTTATTGCTAAGTCACTACGCCACGGAGTCGTCTATACATTTACATAAAAAAGTACATACGTTATTTAAGACTAGTTAAGACATTTTACGTTATTCCAAATTAGTAATAAATTACTGACAAGATCAGTAAATAGTTCAACATTGTATTATTGTTTAAGAGTCAATTTTGCCAAAATGTTGAAAAGTCGCTTTACTCGCTAGCATGGCAGAATTGCACTTCACAAACTACTACTCCTAATAATGATTATTACGAATATTATACATTATAGGTATTATTGCTTCATTTTGTTTATCAGACCACATATATACGTGGTAGAACCACACTGTAGCTATATTATGGTTGTAGCACGAAATGGTCGGCTCGACCGGGGAAGGACCACGCTCTCACAGAATACTAGCGTAAAACAGCAGCATAATACTGCTTTTGTATAGTGAGTGTAGAGATCCGGAGATCCTTTTTTACTGGAAACGAGGTACTCTATCTTAGTCCTCAGGGGTGATAACGCATCTGCGTTTTGATTCTTTATCGAGGATAAATGTAGATATCTTTGGGCCATAGCATCCACTTACCATCGGGTAATTTGTGTGCTCGTTTGTCAACCCTTATCTATATATAAGAAAACAAAACTTCATCTAAGAATTTTCGATTGCAGCTATGCCATTTGACCAGTTATTTCTTCTCTACACGCTATTTTAATTGTATTAGATGCAGTTTTTATTTTATTGCTTCAATGTAATTTTTTTTAGCTGTGGAACACAAATAAAAACTTATTATATTATATTATATTTTTTACATACTCTTTAAATATAACGCCATAATATTACAAAACTGATACAATTTTCGCTTACTTTACGTATTGCTTTATACTTTTTTCCTAGTCAGACATTCATTAAATGATTTGCTGTTGAAGTTGGCTGCACATCGCACACGTCAGGTTCCCTCAGCAGCTACTGGCGAAACATACATGTAATTAAGGCTAAACGACATTCAAGAGATGATCAAAATCAAAGTGCCTCTTATTTGTTGACGACTTATAATTGGTTACTGAAATAAAAGACACCTCACACCATACTAGTCTGCAGCGGGATATAAACAAGGTTATTAAGTGGAGCTGGAAGGGATAAACTTAATTTTTACGTCATCATTATCATCATTACAGCCCTTCACAAGTCCACTGCTGAACATATTTTTCCCAACAAATATCGTCATAGGTGTGACATGGACATTAAACATGATCTTTGTTTTGTCCATGTTCATCTTAAGACCTATCCTTTGGGAGACACTATTGAGGTCATTGAGCATAGTGCTAAGCTCCTCCAGCGATTCTGCCATAAGGACTATACCGTCGGAAAATCGAAGGTGAGTGATGTACTCGCCATTGATACTAATACCGTATTCTTTCCAGTCCAGTAGCTGGAAAACGTCTTCCAACGCAGCGGTGAAGAGTTTCGGGGATATAATATAACGTCACCCTGTCTTACACCTTTCTGCAGTTGGATAGGTTTCGAACTCTGGTTCTGTACTTGGATAGCCATCGTAGCTCTACTGTACAAACATTTCAGCATTTCGATATACCGACAGTCAACTTGGCACTACTGAAAGGACTGTAGCACCGCCCAAATTTCGACGGAATCAAAAGGTTTCTCATAGTCCACATATGCCAGGCAAAGTGTCAGATTGTACTCTTCGGCCTTCCGTACAATCTGCCGCAGGGTATGTATATGTGGTATATGGTACTGAAGCCTTTTCGGAAACCGGCTTGTTCGGGAGGCTGGAAGTCGTCGAGTCTGCGTGCGAGACGATTCGTAATGACTCTCGAAAACAGCACGTAGACGCGGCTCAGAAGGGAAATCTGTCTGTAGTTCCTCAAGAGAGCGTTGTCGCCTTTCTTAAAGAATAAGACCACTGCACTTCTGCTCCACGCCTCCGGAGTAGTGCCACCATAGAGGACGGAACTGAAGAGCTTCCGACGAACTTCAAGTACCGGTGTACCATCAGCTTTCAGAAGCTCCACTCTAATTCCATCCTCGCCTGGGGCTCTGCCGTTTTTAAGGTGCTGGAGAGCTATTCTAATCTCGCTCAGACCGATGTCCGGGATGTCATCGGAATAGTGTCGGATAAGACTTGCTCTTGGATCGTTACTCACACTTGCGTGTGGCTCCAACGATGATGTGTACAGCTGCCCATAGAACCTCTCAATCTCACTTAAAATCTCAGGTGTCCCAGGAACGATGCTGCCACATTCAGTCTTCAGCTTTGAGAGTTGGCTCTTTCTGGGAGACAGATCTCTGGCAAAGACTTGGAGCCCTGGTTGCGCTCAATCGCTTCTTTAATACGAGGAGTATTTGAGTTGCGTAAGTCTCGCCGCATGCATTTGGGGATCTGTCTGTTCAGTTGCCTGTATGCTGTCTGACCTGTATCTGTTGACGACTGCAGTCTCATCTCCCGTCTAACAGCCATGAGATTAAGAGTGTGATCGGAGAGTTTATGTGTTCTTCTGCAGCAGGTCTTGCAGAACTTAGCTCCAACCGCATGAACAGTTACCACGAGCTTGTCATTCACACCATCATCAGAGCATCATCATCAGCATCATCAGAGCTTGTCATTGATCATTCATATCGTCCACTAAATTGCAATCATCTAGGCACTGAAAGCGGTTACGTAACTCGAGCTGAAAGGTTTCGGGATTCTGGATCAGAGCACAAGGGGGATGGATTGTGGCTCACTCATGGGTAAAAAACAATCCTATGTCTCAAGTTGGACTAAACTGCATACACACACACACACACATATATATATATATATATATATTTATTATTATAAATTACGTGTCAAGTTGTTTGTCCGCGATGGACTACTTAACTGATTTTAATCAAATTTGCACACCGTTTGCAGTTTGGTCCAACTTGAGAGATAGTATAGTTTTTAGCTCATGAGTGAGTCACAATTTTTTTTGATGAAAATTAAAAATACTTGTATTTTGGAGCACACAGTGAGAGAGAGAGAGAGGAGAGAGAGAGAGAGAGAGAGAGAGAGAGACCTACAGACATACAGACATCATCGCAAAAATAGCCCGAATAGCTTCCTAGGACCTCGAGACGTTGAGATCTAATGAGAACTCGATTTTCAAAAACCGGTGTAAAAACAATAACTTCCCCATTTTTCATCATCATTGATTTTCATAATGGGAAATTAATAAATAACAATATTTGTAGCCGGATAGTAATTAATGCGTCAGTTGGTAATAATAAAATGTATCAGCTGGAAAGGACACCTGTGTCGTGGTAAGGTAGAACAAGACCGGCACCGCCGTCTCTAGATTGAAGTGCAAAGCGTTAATATTCATGTAGTCCTCTAATACTGCAGAAAATCACACACAGCGAGCGTGGTAAGGGCCGCATTGCACTGTATGCCACGAGCATTAAGTGTTTACCCTTGCTTAAATCATAACATTTAAGAAATATATAACGTTTTTGGAACTTCTATGGAGATTAAAACCCGTTAAGATCTCCACTATTTTATTTTAAAAGCTGAAAAACCCAAAAAGGTTCAAAAGCAGTTTGCATTATATTTTTGTTTTATAAAATTTAAGTGACAAACTGTGTCCATCTGATTGTAAGTGGTTTCTACAGCCCATGAACACCTGCAACCAAATTCTAACAAAGCAGGCTGCAGATACGTTGTCACCTCTGAGGGCTAAGACATAATATCTCAGAGCCCGTTATTATATAGACTTTTCAGTACAATAGTAACATTTCCAAATATTTATGACAATTTTGATAACAACCAGTCCTGTTTATCTAACAACAAGTTCTTAAAAATACGACTAGAACATAATATTTAAGGGATTAAATATTTTTTTTGTCATAATATATGAAAATTAGTAGTATTTTCTTCTCTAAGATAACTTTTGACATACAAAAGTATTGGGTGAGGGATTTAATGTTTGTTTTGAATAATTCCCTTACAACAATCACTATTAGAGGTTAAAAATGCCTAAATAGGCAATTAAAACTCGTCATAAATTTGAAGGTATTTAATATGATATTTAAAAAGATTTTTAAAATTTTAAACTATGTTCAAGACATAGTTTGTGTGTCAGTGACGACTTGAGTTCCACTAGCGATCGCCTGGACATTAACGGATGTCGAAGAGGAAGTGGTTGCCGTGGCGGTGGCAACTCCTGAGTCTTGTGCGTATGCTATGGCACCAGCTGTTGATGAACCAGTAGAGGTTACTGTTGCAGTGGCTTTTCCTGAGTTGTGTGCGTCCGCTGTGGCATAAGCAACTGATGATCCAGAAGTGGTCACTGTGGCGGTGGCATGTCCTGCATCATATGAGTGTGCTATTGCGGTTGAAGATGATGAGCCAGAAGCAGTTGCCGTAGCAGTCGAGCTTCCACTACCATAAGTCAATGCTGTTGCCGTGGCTTCTGATGTACCTGTGGCTACAGCTGTAGCAGTATGTGTTCCCGTGCCCGAGAAACCCAACACAACAGTAGTAATGACTGGGCTAGAGCCGACAGCTTTAACAGTGGTGCCTTTCTGGCCAGCTTTGAGTACTGTAATAAAGAAATTCTTTAAGGATAATATACAAAATTAATTTGTAATAACCAGACAAATTTGCAGAGAAGGTTCAGAATAAGTAATATAGATATAAAGGTGAAGAAAACTTATTTAAAAAAAATCTCAAACATTCTGTCCTTTTATCTGATTTTGCTGCACGCAACACGTTCGTTAGAGTTGATCAATAGGCAAAAACGTTGTTGTCCATAAATCACATTTGGGAAAATTTCAAATAAAATTATAAGCCTTATTTACTCGTATTTTTAAATGTGAAATAACTGTATATCATTAATTAATTTAAAAAAAATAGCCCTGTTTATATAACTATTTTTAAAAGAGGAAAGGTGATATGTAATATAGGTTTTTTATAGTGCTCAACGTGGTTGCCTTTTTAATGATTTAATTTCGATGGAATTAGCATGCAACGTCAAGATTTACTTGTGACGAAAAATTGATTTAGTTGGTCATTTCTAAATTCGACTCATATATTTATTAATCAATAATCTCAATTATGTTTTCTTGCCTAAATGCCACACCTGCCACAATTCACCTACTTGCAGTAAGTAAACTTGCGATTTTTTGGAACAAAACTCAAAATGGAGTCTGTAATCCATGAGGCTTAAAATGCATTTTCTTGCAACAAGTAAAAAGCATTCGCCATTAATTGTTAGAAATTCAGAAGTTTTTTTTTGCTTCTTTACCCTGATATTATTTGTGAGCATTTTCCTCAAAGACAGAGTTGACTTTTTCGTGCTGCGGCTATAATTCGATTACAGCATCAGAATCTATTATACCATTGTAATTATTCAAAAGATGCCAACTGGGTTTGGTAACTAAATGCTTCAAAATGTTATTGGGATCCGGCAAATTTTGGAGTACCATCTCAAAACCTGCAGGACCAGTAATAATTAATAGTACTATTTACGAAGACTACTGGTTCCACGACCATCAATTTACTAACGGAAACTTCTCCCATATAGAACCCCATAAGTATATCTAAATTTAATTACCTAGAGGAGTTAAAGAGTCTTTCCCCAAAAACGGAAATCCAGTGTGACTAGTCATTACTATCATTCTAAATTCTTCGTGCACGGGAATAAAATTTGCAGATTTGCGTTCAGAAATGTTTATCATTTTATTGGAAGTTATTATTCTTCCATCACTCAAAACTGTTTCTCCTTTTCCCATTAAAGTGTTTAAGCTGCATGTCACGTTTATTGGTGCTTTATCTGCATCATCTATAACTAACAAATGGCCATATTCAATGGCTTTGACCAGTGGTGAATCCTCGTACAAGCCAGTTTGATCATTAAGCTTTACTGTCAAAGACTCTATCGTTGTGTCGCGGTGCAATTGTATATATTCCGTAGGGCGATTTAAGATCTGTAACAGTCTGTATGCGATATTTTTATTTAACAATCCCTGCTCCTCGACTAGCAATAAATGGTTCCCTTGCTGAATATCTCCAAGCAATACATCGATCACTTTTTTAAGTTGCGGTATGTCACTGAAAAGTTCATCGAGTACTTCGCCATTCTAGAAATAAAAAAGTCCTGTAAGTTTTTTTTTAGTTTCGAGCAATTTTTTAAGTCAATTTAATATAACATATTATTATAACTTAAGTGTATATATTATGATACTTTAAATAATTATAATATATATACACATATAACATATATATTAGATGTAAGATAGGCGGATTAGTAAGCGTAGAGTTTGTTTGAGCAGTTGGTGGTATTTGGATTTAGAATTTTTATATGAAATTCCACCATCAAGGGTCACTAGACCCTCGTCCGTCATGCAGTGCACATTACACTGCATGAAGTCAAGTTTGATGTCTGTAGATACAAATTTGCTATATTTCGTTCTATATACCATTACTAAAGTGTAGGATATGTCAATATTTCAAGCGAGCTGGATATGAAAGTTCTAATCATATCCAGCTAGCTTGAAATATTGATTTCTGGAAAATTTCCACGTAATAGCGGCGTAAGAAAGTTTCTATACATTCGCCTCATTTCGTCCTGTGGGTATCGTGAGTAGTAACTTTAGAATATGCCAGAATGACGTCATAGTTTTGGATAGATGGAAGTTACATCTCTTGAATATTATATTTCAGATAAAATATCCAATAAAAAAAAATAAAAAATAATATAGTAGGGGGTCATTGTAGAAGCGTGCTCGTCGCGACCCCTGCCAGCTCTTTCCAGGGCTGCCATTCTACACAGCTGCGCACCCATGCAAACGGGAGTTAGGGCGTCCCCCCAAGGCGACGCACACCAGATCGTCTCCGTTGGTGTGGAATGCAGCGCGCAAAGCGGCGATGGGGACCGCCACCCGTCACGCACAGCCCGACACGGCGGAAGGTGGAGGACGGAGTTGATCGAAATAATGAAAGAAAGAGAATTAGATGTCGTGTGTATGTCGGAGACCAAACGGAAAGGCAGTGGTACTGAAGAGCTCCCTGGCGGGACGTTAGCTATATGGTCCGGAGTCCCGGAAAGCGAGAACGCCTGCCAGGGAGTGGGGGTGCTATTGTCGTCCCGGTTGGTCGATCTTATGACTGAATACAAGGTTGTGAACTCAAGACTTCTCTGGGTTCGCTTTAAACTGGGACTGACGAAGTTATTCCTTTTGGCTGTTTATGCGCCAGTAGCTTCGTCGTCCAGAGCTGAGCTGGAGGAGTTTTGGGAGAATGTAAGAGAAGTTCTAGATTTGGTTAAGGGAAACGAAAGAACTGTTGTATGTGGTGATTTGAATGGATGGGTAGGTAGCGCTCGACCAGGATACGAGTCGGTGCTTGGAAAGTTTGGCGATAAAAGGGTTAATGATGCTGGCAAACTTATACTGGCTGTATGCAAGGAAAAGGGTCTTCTTGTGACAAACACTATGTTTAATCACAGGAAAATCCATATGTACACTAGAGAAAGAAAGAATGATAGAAGTATGAATGATTTGTTCCTGGTGGATGACCGACTGCGAAAACAGGTGATGGATACACGAGTGTTCAGGGGTGCTGACCTGGGAACGGATCACTATCTAGTAATTACTAGATTTAGGGGTTTGTTCGCGGGTTGGCGCTACCGGACGGCAGTAACAGAACCACAGTCGGTCTGTCGCATCCGAAGCTGGAAGCTTCAGGAAGCGGATACTAGGGATAAATATCACACGGGGGTAGCCGAAAAGCTTGACACCATCGATGGCAGGAAAGAATGTGTGGAGAGAACATGGCAGAAACTTAGGGATGGAATGGTAAGTGCAGCGGAAGAAGTATGTTGTGGAACGACAAAAAGAGGTAGTAGTAAAAGAAGAGATGCATGGTGGAATGATGAAGTGAGAGAAGCTGTAAAAAAGAAGAAAAAAGCATGGTTAGACTACTTGGCCTCTAGTAACGATAAGCATATGAGAGAGAAGATGAAAGAAAGATATAAGCTGCAGAAAGTTCATGCGAAAACATTGATTGAGGAAGTACGTGAAAGGTGTAGAATAGAAGCGGACGAGAGGTTGTCGCACAACTTTAAGGAAAACTCCAAACTCTTCTGGAAAGAGGTTGGAAGGTCCCGAAGTGGTGCGACAGCCTTAAGAATGAACAAAGTGCTTTCGAGAACCAATGACGTCCTCGCAGAAAAATCGGACGTCATGAGCGTTGGAGTGAATTTTATAGAGAATTGTATGCGTGTCATGATCTTAGTGAAGGATCCGTAGGTAACACCATAACTGGCACGCCAGACGCGGACCTCGATGACACTGAGGTCATCAGCATGAAAGAGATTGAACGTGCGATTCGAAGTTTGAAATGTGGTAAGGCTGCGGGATTAGACAGAGTTACTGCTGAAATGGTCAAATACGGTGGGCCTCGAGTCTGGGACAGCATTCGTCTGCTGTGCAACTTGTGCTGGCGGATGGGAGATGTCCCGGATAATTGGCGATCCGCGGTCATTGTGCCTTTATATAAAGGTAAAGGTTCACATTTTGACTGCGGGTGCTATCGGGCGATCAGCTTGACCAGTTTAGCAAGTAAAGTTTACTCGAAGGTTTTGACACGTAGGATGCAAGAGAAATCGGAAAGATTCTTATGGGAGGCACAATGCGGATTTAGACCTGGAAGAGGATGCACGGATCAAATGTTTTCTCTCCGCATGATCACGGAAAAGCTTCTGAGTGTTAACCAGAGGATTTTCTGTGCTTTTGTGGATCTGGAGAAAGCATTTGATAAGGTTATAAGGAAGAAAATGTGGGAACTGTTGCCGGGATATGGTGTGGATGGTCGATTCTAAGGGCTGTGCAGTCACTTTACTATGAGTGTAAAGCTTGTGTGCGGGTAGGGCATGACCTGTCACCCATGTTTAGCGTCCAAGCGGGCGTAAAACAGGGTTGTGTCATGTCTTCCTGGCTGTTCATACTGTATCTCGACAGCTGTTTACAGAAGCTGAAAAATAGCTGTTTGGGAGTGTGAAATTGGGTGACATTAAAGTAAATTGTCTGCTGTATGCTGATAATGCAGTGCTTATTGCACCCTCAGATCTCGATGGGAGATGTCCCGGATAATTGGCGATCCGCGGTCATTGTGCCTTTATATAAAGGCAAAGGTTCACATTTTGACTGCGGGTGCTATTGGGTGATCAGCTTGACCAGTTTAGTAAGTAAAGTTTACTCGAATGTTTTGACACGTAGGATGCAAGAGAAATCGGAAAGATTCTTATGGGATTAAATTCTGCGGATTTAGACCTGGAATAGGATGCACGGATCAAGTGTTTTCTCTCCACATGATCACGGAGAAGCTTCTGAGTGTTAACCAGAGGATTTTCTGTGCTTTTTGTGGATCTGGAGAAAGCATTTGATAAGGTTATAAGGAAGAAAATGTGGGAACTGTTGCCGGGATATGGTGTGGATGGTCGATTTCTAAGGGCTGTGCAGTCACTTTACTATGAGTGTAAAGCTTGTGTGCGGGTAGGGCATGACCTGTCACCCATGTTTAGCGTCCAAGCGGGCGTAAAACAGGGTTGTGTCATGTCTTCCTGGCTGTTCATACTGTATCTCGACAGCTGTTTACAGAAGCTGAAAAATAGCTGTTTGGGTGTGAAATTGGGTGACATTAAAGTAAATTGTCTGCTGTATGCTGATAATGCAGTGCTTATTGCACCATCAGAAGCAGAACTGCAGGCATTAGTTACGTGTATGAAAGAGGAATATGAAATTAAAGGTCTCCGTTTGAATGCTAACAAAACTAAGGTTCTGGTATTTGAAAAGGACGAAGAGAGAACGAAATGTGAAATATGGGTAAATCAGGAACGTCTAGAACAGGTAAATGAAATTGTATACTTGGGGAGTGCTTTCAGCCGGGGTGGAAGATGTGATTTAGATGTGGATAGGCGCGTCGCTGCCGGAAACAAAGTTAATGGTGCCCTGAATGCATTAGTCAGAAGGCAAGGCGTGGTGAAGAGTGCACGCCTTGCAATACATAACGCAGTGTTGGTACCGACTTTGTTATATGGCAGCGAAACCTGGGTATGCCAGAAGAAGCATAAAAGCAAGTTGAATGCAGTGGAGATGCGATCTCTTCGTAAAATGTGTGGCGTTACCATAGCCGATCGAAAGCGAAACCAAGAGATTCGCAATATGGCAGGATTGAAAGATGACCTTATCAAAAAAATTGATAGGGGCGTACTCTAATGGTTTGGGCACGTTGAGCGAATGAGTGAAGACCGAATGGTGAAGAAAATATATAGAGAGAAAGTAAATATTAAAAGGTGTCGAGGTAGACCGAGACTAACTTTCGAAGACCATGTGAGCAAATTGCTCGAAGAGGGGAAGGTCAAGAGTACTCGGATACCTAGACGTGCATGTATGAAGAAGTTAATGAACCTGAAAGAAGCGAAAGTGGTATGTAAGGATCGTGACATTTGGCGATCTGTTCTCTCTGGCTACCCCGTTAGGGATTGTGCGTGAAGATAAGTAAGTAAGTAAGTAAAAATATCCGATATATCTGGTACTGCGATCGCTATCCGCCAGCTAACGGGGAAGAATACGTGAAATTCTTTTCGGCCATATCTATTAATGGGCTATTACGGGCTAGTAGATAATAAGAGTAAGAAGGAGAGAGAATTAGACTTTAACCCTGCCGTCCTGTAGCAAAATAATAATAAAACTGTCATATTTAATAGGAATTTTCTTCGAATAGATTATTTTTCATTTGTCCTCATTATGGTAGTATATCAATAAAACATTTAATATTACATAACATAATATAAACAACATTCTAAATTCTAAATCTAATACTAAAAACCTTAAAAATATATATTATAATAACTAAATTATATTATTAAAAAGGAGGTCCTTTAGGCAAGGTTCCGAAGATACTGGCAGCGTTTCCCCGTTGAATAGCTAGACTAATTCTTTGTCCGAGGTAGCTGCCAGCTCTTCTGTCTCCTGTGACGTCGATTAACCTTTTTGCTATTTCTTTAAAAAGGCTTATAGCGCTAGGACCCCACGGACCAAGGGTCTCGACACCGAAAGGGACAAAAATATATTCGGAGCCTAGACTAGTATTTGCATACTTTAGCTTTTTCAGCCGCTTCACAAGCCGCACCAGCTCTGTTGTTAGTTACATGTAGATGGGAAGGGGCCAGCGTGTCTGAACAGGTTCCATCCCATACCAGCACCCGACCCATCTTCCATGGAATCAAACTCATACCGTCCGGTCTCTTGCCATCATCTCTTGCAATACCAAACGGCTCAAGTACACTTGGCACATTGACGGTGGCAAGAGACCGGCGTATGATATCGTTAAGTGTTGCATGTCTCGAGAAGCGACCTGCACTTTTTTGGCATGATAGTCCGTAATGTCCTAGCTTGTCGAAGTCACTGCCACACGGACATTTATGAGGAGCGCAGACCGGAACCCCAAACCGTAGACAGGTTGCGATTCGGAGCGTGTCAGGCTCAAGAAATTTTCCTGTATTTGACGAAGGATACGCGTGAAGCCAGTAGCCGGCCTCACGCGTACCCACGGCCAAAAGACTAGCACACGCCGAACCTGTACTAAAGCTCAAAAGATTGTCATAAGTCAATTTGCAGTTTATGTCGTCCCAGCTCCTCTGTGAATTTAGAGGAAACCGAAAATTTTGACCAGGACATGCAATTAAGAAAGCGTTTCTAGCTTCTTCCAGGCCAGCATTCTCAAAGTTTGAAGGGATGCCCTTAAAATTTTACTAATGAGATTTGCTGAACTGTGTACAGAAGATAGGAAGGCTGGTAAATAGACACTGGAAATTTTGCGAATCCCTAAACCACCATAACGGATGGGTAGGGATGCTTGGGTCCAAGATTGCTCGTTCAGGTGTATATTAAGAATCGATTCTAAATTAATTGGATCCCAAAAGGAGCAGCAACGGAGCACATACGTAAATTTTGGGACAAAAACACAGAATTTTAAAATGCAAAGTGCATAATGTGGACTAATTTCAAGGAGACGGTCAGCAGAATTTTGAAATTTAGCAATTGAATTATTAATTTATTCAGACATAGATTCATTAAAAATTGGAGAACCTAAAAGGTAAAGGGAATTACTGTTAACTATTTTAATATTTGGTGCCAAAATATTAAATTTGTGGAATATAATATAATATAATTTTTTTTCAATAAAATAATGTTATGAACAATTTGTTCGTCGGCCCGTTAACAATTACTCGTTTCTGGACATGGGTATTTCCAATAAATATAGGATCCATACATATATTATGAGTAGAGTTATACGTATATAGTATAATATAGTGTTTTATAGTGTAATACATTATTTTTCCATCTATCGAAGGCTGTGAGAACTTTCTGGATTTTCAATGATTACAAGTTCCTGGCTTCCACGTTTTAGATCCTTAGTTCGAATTCCGCTTGTAGGCAACGAAAATGCAGGAAAACTTGTTTAGGTTAGTTGTATTGGAAAAAACAAAGTATATTTTATTTTGTTAAGGATTATCATAAGTTTTGTGAACCTTTTTATTCGTTTATGCATGTCGTAAAGTATAAAAGATTGATTACCTGTTTGAGTTGCTGTTCACTACCGGTATAAAGTGTTTCGGCAAATGTTAACATTCTACAACAAAATTTACAAAATGTATTTTTTAATGCTCTGATAATGTGTAAACTACATGATCAGAAAACGTTTTGTACGCAAATGACGTACCGAATTTCGGTAACAGCGGCCAGATAGAATTAAAGTGCCCAAGAGTATGCGCAAGCAAAGGTGCACTCTCATACCATCATATGATGGGACGGCAAACTGACACAACCGGAGAAAGACCAGGCGCAAGACCAACGGATTCCTGGGGTTGAAACACCGACTATTTTCTGACTCCGGGCTGCTACTCAGAATTCAATAATTGATTTTGGCATGATCCGGGGTTCGAACCTGGGTCCTCTTGATCAGCAACCACGTTTATGACAACAAGACCAACGAGACAGAGTTTTACACAAATATTTTTAACATAAAGCATTTGATTTATTTGATGTGTGCAATGCGATATTTTACCACGTTTTTATTAATTCACTTTCTTGTTTGTTTGTTTGTCGTTCCGGTTGGAGTCTTGCGACTCAAATTTCGAGCGCTTCCTGATTAGCTAGAGACTTGAAATTTTTAACATAGCTCAGAATCAGATGACAATGTTGGAATATAAAAAACTTTATATGAGTCTTTTGTAGATTACGTTCGCCTCTCTTCACTGGCTACGCTTCGGTGACCACTTTGGGGAAACCGAGGGTTTTTCCTTTGCGATATTGGTTCAGGTTATTAAGAACAATGACTGTCGAAGATACATCCTAAGGGATGGTGCCGTCGACATCTTTCGAGCTTGTCGCCATCCCGGTGAGTCACTTAGGCATGTCATCTCTGTTTGTTTGGGCTTTCTAACTCTTAGTACTTGCACAGGCACAACCTAGTAGCCAGGATTTTATATCAGTAGCTTGCTCTGAAATACGGTCTTGTGTGAGTACTTGTCGGAAGCTCTTAGAAAATAAACACGCCAAGCTCTACTTAGACCTGGCCGTCATCACAGACAGGGCTATTCTTGCGAATAAGACTGATATTGTGCTGCTGTACCGGGCACAATCAAGGACATTTTTGGTCACCATTACAATTCCGTTTGAAGAGAATTTACAGTGAGCGCTAAGCATCTGACCTCTCAGAAATGAGGGGAGGCCTGTGCCCAGCAGTGGGACGTATATAGGTTGTAACTTTACTTTACTTTTAACTTTTGAAGAGAATCTCGTGAAAACAAAAACAGATAAGCATATAAAATATTTGGCCCTGGCTCAAGAGGAGATTGACATGAGGGCTGGTCTGTCGACCGAAATTATTCGTGTAGTCGTTTCTGTGAACGGGCTAATCCCAGTCAGCCTCTCAGATTTTTTGAGGCGGCTGAGACTCCATGACGGTCCGCTTCGGGGTCAAATGTAGCAGACGGTGCTACTCGATACCACCCGCATCGTCTGCCAGTTTCCCTCCCTTTTCCCCTAATCCTCGGCTGTTTAGTCTCCCTGCCGAAGGCTTCCATCTGGTTGGACATTTATTTTTTATGTATTATTTATTAATTTATGTTAGTATTTTAAATATATATTAATGTAGAGGTGTATTTATCATTTCCTTTTGTATATTTATTTAGCCCAACCAGACGAGAATACACTATTAATATTCCAAGATATTTTTGTTAACATTTAGTGCTTAAAGATGTTAGCATAATAACAATATATTGTAATAAAAGAGTCTTGGTATTAAAAAAATCATTAAATAACTACCCCAAAAACACTTCGCGTGCACTATATTTATCTTTTTACATATAGGCATAACCAGTGGTCTCATAATGGAAAAATCCAACTTATCAGCAAGTGTAAAATCGCATGTAAAATAAAATCAAATGTAAACTAGGTATAAGGCAAGTTATATCTATATCTCTATTCAATACCAACTTAATTTTATAACAAATCTTGAAATACTTAATTTTATTTGTATTGTCACATCTAAGTACTAAAACATATAGCTCACAGCCTGTGATTATACTGGTTTTCCATACCTCTCTTTTTATACCATATGGCGGCAAAAATAGATAAGAGGGTGCGAAGTACGCAGACAAACTTCGAGGCAAAGTAGGGCTCTAACATATTATAAAGAATTGAGACTGTCTGCTTATACCATAACAGTATTAAGTTCACATTATGTACACTTACCGTGTAGTGAAGGTGTAAGAATATCACACTACACCATACCATTTTGTGTGTATCGTAAGAGACGACAGAGGAAATCAAATCAGGAGATGGGCAGCAGCGTCTTCCTAATAAAGACTAAAAATATACTGTGGTTGCCAACCCGGCAAGCGGGTGGTGGCTTATAGAGCAAATATCCCCCTATGAGGCAATCTATGAAGGAGGCCCATGTCCAGCAGTGGGCTTTAATAGCATATAACGAAACAGAATCATATTAGTTCAAGACCAAGACAATGCTATTCCAAAAATGAAAAATGTTAAACGAGGATTGAAAATAATTGCATTCGTTTCCAGCCGTCTGTGAACAAGTTGAACAAGCGATAATAATACAGTACAAAAAAACCCTCTCTGCAACCACAGAAGGTATACAAAACCGGAAAAAGGCCAAAAGGAGAAGGAAATAGGTCAAATGCTTTCGATAAAGTCCCTCATATTTTTTTATAAAAAAATATACTTTATAATAACTGCAAAATCAAGGAGTATCTATCTGTGTAGAAGTAAAATCTTGAGGCAAACATTATCGGTCATCGTATGGAACTAAGAGTTAGAATACTTTTTTATAAAACTAAGTGACAAACGAAGTTATACTTTAACAGATTGTTGGTGGTTACTGTACTCTCTGGAGACCCGAGTTCAAGTTCAAGATAGAAAGAAAGCTACAACCATGATGTTTCCCTTGAGAACTAAGAAGAAATGCCTCCCAGCCTGTAACTATACTAGCTCTCTATACAATCATACGGAAACACAGCAATGCAAAATGAATAGATATATAGATATATAGTGTTTGTTTTTACTATATATAAACCCTAACTCTTAGACTCGGTTGGGTGGGACATTTGGCATGTGTAACCAAACATACGCTCGTGTTTTACAGTGTCCTAAATGACGACCGCTACGTTCTTTTTTGGTGGCCGCTTAAAATGAACGCCACCTGCGCTACATTCGATGTGAACCGCTGTTTACTCAGATTTAAAGCTTACTTACACGACGCTGTTGAGTAAAATCAATAGAGTAGGCAGGATCATGATGGCTTGATATTAAGTAATATGGCAGGTGAAAAATTTAGTACGATGAATTGAAATTACTTAGCTACAGATTGCACCTGTAGCCTTTTTTAACGAGAGAAGTATTGGTAAAAATATTTAAAATAAAAACATTATTAATCACAAATATAGCCAATTATTGATATTACAAAAATAATTTACACTTATATACTAAAACAAAAAGGATGATAATACAAGATAAATTTTCGATAAATAATAAAATAATGATATTATCACACTTTGATAATACTTATGTACAGTCAGCGTCACAATAAAGTATCGGTTAAAGGTTATGAAATAATTTTTTTAAATCAAAAGTTATTACAAAAAAGTAAACGATTACTGATCTTTTTTTTATAGGGTAAGGGTGACAAAGTAAGTGTGGATGCTGTGGCCCATAGACATATACATTTATTCTCGCTTAAGAATCAAAATGCAGATGCGTTATCACCCTTGAGGACTAAGATATAATGCCTCAATCCCAGTAAAACGGGTCTCCGTCTCTCTACACTCATCTCACGAAACACAACAGCATTAAGCTGCTATTTTACGCTGGTATTCTGTGAGAGCGTGGTCCTTCCCGGGTCGAGCCGAACCATTCATGCTACAACCGTAATAGCTTCAGTGTGGCTCTACAACGTATAAAATCTTTAGATCTATTATGATACCAGTTCACCTTTCCTTAATATACAACAGTAACAAACAAAACATTAATGTTATTCAAGCAGATAAAGTAATTCTAAAATGTGGGGTTAATCAGGAAAAATAAAAATAACTACTCAGATACGACTGGGTTCAATTTATTGTACGCCAAATGTTTATATAAAAGACACGTTACTTCGTGTAATAGGAAAGGTACTATGTTGAGGAATATAAATTCAGTTTGCCAATCAAAAAACTTTTTTTCCTGAAATCCATTTTTGTGGTATTGTTTCATAATTCAGTTCATTAAAAGCTTACATTATCTATATGTTTATTTAGAGTGCCTTCAAGCAAACTCCTCTTCTAACAATATTCATCGCTTTCTATCTATTGTAACTTTTCCAATTAGGACTTGCTGTTAGCTTCATCTTAAGTAAGCTCTAGCCCTCACTAGGTAGAAAATAACATAATTTTACAGATTTTTTTGGATTTAAATGTTTGAAGTCCTGATGTCCATTAGTGGTAATAAAGTTAGTTTATTTTCAACTTATAAATATTAATTTTTAGTCGGTCTAAGCAGAAAGAGCTTACAGATTCTAAAGGCCTTGCAGTAATTTGCTAGTGTTTGTATTTTTTTTAATTCTGGGATTCTAAACAGATGGTGGTAATAGGAAATCTTCTCTATTAAAATTAGGATTTCTTTTTTTAATAATTTAAATGGCTTATCGTATAATCCTTGCAAGCAGTGGGTATTTTTCGAGGATTTGTGGTCTATCAAATCCGATGTAATGGTTGGGACGATCCTGAACATGTTGACATACTGCAGATTTCCCCGACCGTTGTTGCTTTACACCTTATATGTTCTTCAACGTATGATTTGTTCTTTAACGCATGTTTTGTTAGTAGTTTGTTAGTGATAGTAAGTAAGTTCTAATTCTTGGAGAAGTGAGGGAAGAGTGCGGTATGACTTCGGGTTTAAAAGTTACTTTTTAATTGAAAAATACAGCTGGCGTAATATTTTTCTTAATATTTGTTTCAAATTTTATAGTTGCACTATTTATTTGATTTGGGACGAAACCGGTATTTTCTCCACAAAAAAGTTAATTTTTCTTAAATAATCATCTTGTTGGTTGGTTATACGCGGTAAATTTT